CAATTTAATCATAATTTCTTGTAAGTTTACATTTTTGGACAATGAAACATTAGGATTATATTTTTTGAGCGGAGAAAATTATTTACTTTTTTTCTTAATCTTGAAAAAATACGACAGGCGGATCCGTAAACAAGAAATAAAATTGTTCTGGTCTAAGCCTGCCCTTTCTCAGTTTTCTAATTGCTGATACTGCTTTGTTTTAAGAACTTGATATCAAGTCAAGGACATGGGTGCAGTTGTACTCAACAACCTCAGCCCTACGACTGTCGTACGCCTTTGTTAATGTGTGGGAGTTACATATGATCACCTTGAAGCCCTAAGATCGCCTTGTACAACAGCACCCTTGTTTTATTCCCATAGATAATGTTTTAAACCAGTTGTTGATGTCCTGGACATGATTTTATTTAAAACTACCCAAATCGCGATCAATCATTTATATTTTCACATTTATTCCAAAGCCTTTTAAGAATAATGATAAATTTATCATTTTATTTTTGGAATTTCCTCCCAGTAGACTTTCTGCTACCTCAGTTAAAGGATTCAAAATAAATATTCTAAAATCAATATTTAAGGTCATAGAATGTTAATCTTTAAATTTTCATCATCACACTTTACTTTAATTCATTATCCCAAAGGACTTACGGAGGAAGAAAATGATTGCATGTGTCGCCATCATTCCATACTTGATGAATTACACCAAGACTCCCGATAAGCATGTTTTTGTAAATTATGTGAACTAAATCACCGTCACACACTCATGTTTGAGATCCTAGCGTACATTTAATCGGGGAATAATTTGATAACCCAATAGTATAACATCACCGTGTAATTATACAATGTGTCCTTATTAGCTTGCATCCCCAAAGTCTTCACAGATTTTTCCTTCCTGACTGGATGCAAGTGTTGCATATTCATGAACCCCCACTACAGTGAAAGATGCACAGAGGTGCAAGATCTCTTATTTTAACTTAGACATTTATCACTGTAAAGAGTTTCTACGACATGAGACTCACTTGGGACAGCTCACAAACATGTTTAGTTGGAAGTGAACTGAAACTGCCTAGAAGTGAAACTATTTTAAGCAATTATTTTTCACCAGATAACCAAACCCTGTAGGCTGACCGAAAACTATTGAGTGAGTGAGTGAGTGAGTTTAGTTTTACGCCGCTTTTAGCAATATTCCAGCTATATCACGGCGGGGGACACCAGAAATGGGCTTCACATATTGTACCCATGTGGGGAATCGAACCCGGGTCTTCGGCGTGACGAACGAACACTTTAACCACTACGCTACCCCACCACCCCTAAAAAACTATTGACTACCCAGAGAAAACTATCAACAGTCAGTTTGTTTGGTTGGTTTGTTGCTTAGTGCCGCACTCAGCAATATTCCAGCTTCATGGCAGCTGTCTGTAAATAATCAAGTCTTGACCAGACAATCCAGTGATCAAAAAGCATGAGCATCGATATACGTAATATCCACATTTAGCAATATTCAAGCAATATCATGACAGGGGACACCAGAAATGGGCTTCACACATTGTACCCATGTGGGGAATCAAACCCGGGTCTTCGACATGATGAGCAAACACCTTAAGCACTAGGCTACCCTTACAGCCCCTGACGAACTGTAATTCTTTGTAGTCCAACGTTTATGTTTCATCAAATCTTGTCAATAGCAGTTATCAACACAGATGTCATAACAGTATATCATCTGAAAAACGTATGAAAAATAGAATGTCTCAAATTTTCAAAATTGGCCTGAAAACCGAAAAACGTATTCATTTGGGCCCTATACCTCATATCTCATCCCGATATAAAAACATTTGAAAAATTCAATTAAACTAAATCTCAATTCTGGGTATATATCTGCACAAAATATTCCTATCTAAACATTTTGAATTCTTTTATTTGAAGTGTATAAGGTAAACAATTTGGTTTATTTTTGATAAAATTGATTAAATATTTCAAATTTTTTATCATTTTGTTCCTTTGCAATTAACACCAGTGATTTGTTTGCCAGTAGTGATAAAGGTTTTCACAGCTCATGTAACTTTCCTGACATGTCGATTGCAGCTGTTGTACATTTCGCTCGCGTCAATGTCAGGAGAGGGGGTGTTATTTCCAGATATCTACTGGTAGCTATTTCAGGGTTGATAAATAACCTCTCATATCTATTTGTGATGCAATCAGGTTATTTCGAACCCCAACACTGCTGGCAGAACAATCTTTATTCATAGAACATACTAAACCTGTCCATTTTCTTAATCATTCGATGCAAGGTTTTCTTAAGGTCACATTTTGCAATATATTTCCTAATCTCAGATTTCAGTTGCTGTAGAAAATAGTTTTTCCTATGATATATGTTGTCTGCCATTTACTACCCTTGCAAAACTAAGATAAAATGCCTTGACAAATAACTACATTTAAATGTTAATGTGTTTTGATGAGTGTTCCATTTACCGATCGTCTTCCGAAACTGTTTCACATCAAATAACACAGCAGTTATGAAACACAATTCAAAGGGCAAATAAATTATTTCAGTTTTTCATTCTTGTGTCACTTCAGCATTTATCTTGTTTTCATTCAGATGTATTTTTTAAACGCCTGCAAAACTTTCGATAAAACTTTGTGACTATAACAAAGAAATTCTTTTCAATATTAATGTTAGAATTTTCAAAATGTTATCAATAAGTACTGAGATTATTTAAATTTGATAATAATGTATACTAGATATAAGAAATCTCAAAATTATACAAGAATACAATATTAAATTTTATGCTTTCACTGCAAAATAAAAATCAAAAGAAAAACTGAGACATTCCAAGTTACTTCCCTTTATAAGTCACTCTTGCATAAAAGCTATTATAAAATCAAAACAAAAAAGTATTTAAATTTTATTTATTTTTTACCCCAATTTAAAAAAATTAAAAATGTACAATTCCTCAGTGTGTTAGACCATAATGACACATTTTAGAGTTTTTGAGTACATTTTTCCACTTAAACATTAAACCTGCCATCTGAAATCTGCAATATAACATGAAAATGGTTATTACAGATTTCACTGGGCCTGAGTCATTTTAACGTCGGAGGCAAGCCAGCAATTATGTAAATGAATTACGATCTCATCTCAATCTGTAGATGCAATACATTAGTGGTTAATTAGGAAATATGTACAGGTTCACTTCCTCTAATAGGGCTCCTCTTCTTCCACTTCCTCCCCAGCTTCCTGAATTATCTCCACATGGAGGACGATAAGCAGAGGTTGGAACACGGAAGATTAGCTGAAATAAACTTTTCCATGTGTACAGCTTACATTGTTTGTCGAAGGTGACGGGAAATTTGTTAATTAGAAAGTTTATTTTCAGGTTGTGTGCTATTCTTGTGTATAAGGAGGGGCAGGTTAGACCCCATGCTCCTGTGATTAGAGGAGGATGCCTGCAGATAAATAGAGATTCAGATTTGATTTCTGAATATTTACTGCAGAGGTGCAAGACATTTGGAGAAAAACTTGGAATGTTTTTTTTTTGGTGTGTTACAAAGCAGGTATTTCTAAGCCATCATTGTGATTATATTTAGATTCTAGCATGTTTTTGGTAAATTATTATTTCCTTTGAGGTTCTATAAGCAGTTTTTTTCAGATAGCGGAATAAAAGGTTTCTTCGTAATTTAAGAGTTCCTTTTATCGCTCAAGAAAATCATAGACATGAAGCAAGACTTAAACAGCAATTTCAGAACTGTTTTTGGAAAATGTTTGAAATGCTGATTATAACAGAAATATGAGCAGATTTGTATTTACTGTTTTATCGTAAACACTGTCAGTATTTTACCTCTACAAAGAGAACACCTCAAGTAATGTATAATCAATAATGCTGATAGTAGCAGTGTTGTTCTAAATAGGTGTATTGATGTAGTTTAGAACTCGTTCTCAACAGTAGAACCTTTATAATACAAACATTAAAATAATTGGGATTTTGTCCACCGGTTATTTACCTAGTCTGACCTGCCAATTTGCATGGTTTGGTCGTGATATCTGTGAATCTGGCTGAGGCCCTGTTTTTATGGTACAGTTTCCCAGTGTTGAAAGTTGAAATATGGTTTGGGGTGCTTGAAGTTTGGTGCTGTAGCATATGAATCTATGGGCCCCTTAGGAATTCAAATTTCAATTTTAGGGAGATTACAAGTACTTTTTACTTCAATCCTTTACTTCAAACCCTGTTGTCTAAGATGCCACAGGGGCTGTGGGGTAGCCTAGTGGTTAAAGGGTTGGCTCGTCACGCCGAAGACCCGGGTTCGAATCCCCAGATGGGTACAATGTGTGAAGCCCATTTCTGGTGTCCCCCGCCGTGATGTTGCTGGAATATTGCTAAAAGCGGCATAAAACATCAGTCGGTCAGTCAGTCGGTCTAAGATGCCACAGTACACAATGATGGTGGGTTCGATTCCTGGTTTCCCATGATTATGGTTCTAGGGTTGTCGGCGCAATGTTTTTCACCAAGGTTGTAAATGTCCGAGACTTGTATCACTTTGGTCTTTCTTCCCATATTAAGCTGATACTTTGTGATATGAATGGGGAACACTGTTCAAAGCAGTATTGAACTTAAACCACTCTGACTCACTCACATTCTTTTTCTCTCTCACCAACCAACCCACCCACACATATATTCACTCACTCACTCACTCACTCACTCACTCACTCACTCACTCACTCACTCACTCACTCACCAACCAACCCACACATATATTCACTCACTGACTAATCCACCCACTCACTCACTCCCTTTCTCTCTCTCACTCACCAACCAATCCACCCACACATATATTCACTCTTACCAATCAGCTCACTCACTCACTTACTCACCCACTCACTCACTCCCTTTCTCTCTCTCACTCACCAACCAATCCACCCAAACATATATTCACTCTTACCAATCAACTCACTCACTCACTCACTCGAACCCTGTTTTCTGTATGTTCATAGATACAATTTTATGTTCCAGGTGGCAAGAAAAAGATGATAGGCCAGGAAGACGAACTCAGTCACTCCTTGATTGGAGAGGAAAGGATGGTTGTGGAGAGGCCCATCTACAACCAGGTGGAATTCGACAAGGGATTCGAGAGCGGGAAGCGGCCAGTGACTTTACCTCATACGTGGGCCAAGAAGAAAGTGAACAAGTTGTCGTGCTCAGGGAAATGTGTAGGGAAATTCATCACCTCCTTGTTCCCCTTTCTGAGCATCTTGAGGGGCTACAGTATACGCCACGACCTCGTAGCCGACATCATCGCTGGACTCACAGTTGGAATTATGCACATACCCCAAGGTCAGTGTTCATAGACTATCAACCCACGAAGACCCCGGGTTAGAATTGGTCTTCAGCAACCCATGCTTATCGTAATAAGCGACTAACGGGATCGGGTGGTCAGGCTTGCTGACTTGGTTGACACATGTTATCATATCCCAATTGCACGATGCTCATGCTGTTGATCACTGGATTGTCTGGACTTGATTATTTACAGACCACCGTCATATAGCTGGAATTTTGCAAGTTCGGCATTACACAACAACCAAACCAATCCTAGACTAACATCTCTGAACATATTTTGCAGTGATTGACGTCGTGAGCATCGATCTATGTAGTTGGGAAACAATAATAATGATGATAATAAAACTAGTCATTTGTATAGCGCCCTTTCCAAGATCACTTGTAGACTTTTGGGGCGGTGGGGTAGCCTAGTGGTTAAGGCGTTCGCTCGTCACGCCGAAGACCCGGGTTCGATTCCCCACATGGGTACAATGTGTTAAGCCCATTTCTGGTGTCCCCCGCCGTGATATTGCTGGAATATTGCTAAAAGCGGCGGCGTAAAACCAAAGTCACTCACTCACTCACTCACTGGTAGGCTTTTGCAAAGAGATGCGTTTGGAGTTTTTCAGGAAGGATCTGAGTGTGGTACTGTTCCTAATGTCCAGAGGGAGGGAATTCCACAGAACTGGCCCTGCTTTCTCAAAAGCTCTTTCACCAAATGTTTTTGTTGTTTTGGGAACATCGAGCTGCATAAGATGAGCTTAACGGAGACATCTTTTGGGGACGTGCAAAGCAATTTGAGTTTGCAGATAAACTGGAGCCGTTTGTTGCAGTGACCTGAAGACAAAGGTCTGGAGCTTGTAATTGACCCGTTGCTTGATAGGTAGCCAATGGAGCCTCCTTTGAACCGGTGTTATGTGTTCATATTTTGACACATGTGTCAAAAGCCTGGGTGCAGCATTCTGGACGCGCTGTAACTTGTCAAGCTGGTTTTATTGGATCCCGTACAACAGGCTATTGCAGTAGTCTAGCCGAGATATTAACAAGGACTTCTGCGACTGAGGGGTCAATATAATGCCTTATTTGGCTGATATATCTGATCTGGAAGTGAGCAGATTTGCAGACGGAATTTACATGTTGCTCCAATGACATATATCAACTGGGTCAATGTGAGTGAGTTGGGTTTTATGACGCTTTTAGCAATATTACAGTAATATCACAGCAGGGGACATCAGAAATGGGCTTCACAATTTGTACCCATGTGAGGAACTGAACCCAGGTCCTCGGCGTGAAATACCACTAAGCTACCCCACCACCTCCATATTTTACCATATTAAACAACTTTTGGTATGGCGTGGACGTGGATCGAACCCATGACCTCCGGCTCTCTGGGCGGACGCTCTAGCTCCACTACACCACGGAGGCAGGTTTTTATAAACAAACTTTTCAAGGCATCTGTGTTAAAAAAAAGGGAGAAAACATAATTTGACATGAGGTACTTGGTAGTGAGGATGGAAATTGAATAATTAATGTATTACAGCCTTAAAATTCTTTCATGTTCTTCAAAGACTTGTCAGAATTTGGTGCCATGTCAACTTTGTTCATTAAGGCAGTCGGAACGGTGTTGCAGTATCTCCACAAACCAATTACCTTCTAATATTGTGCTTTATTTCATGGAAAGTGTAAGGATCTTTCATTGAACACCAAAACATGAAGCATTTTCAAAGGATAGCCCTCTTGTCTTAAAAACGTCATACAGCATGTAAAATCTACTTTCACTGAAACTTAAATGGAAGGTTCCGAGAAAAAGAAGAAATATTGGTAGCAGTTTGATGATGTTATCTTTTCTTCTTGATCAAAATTGAAAATGTGTATTTTAACCACTTTGTTAAAAAAAAACATCTGTGATGTGTCACCAGAAGAAATATAACTGAAAAGAAAATATTGATTTGATAATAATTTTTTTAAATAAGACATTATTTCCTGATTTTATTAAAAAACAATATTACATTAAAATAGGGTTGGCTGATTTTTATTTCAAAAAAGCTTTTGATGAAAGTAAGGTTTGCTTATGAAGAAAATGGCAGCATTGTTTCACAATATAGCGATTTTGCAAGGAAAATGACACTCTGTTACGTCTGAGTCGAGGTGAAACATTAGTTAACCTGGAAGACGAGCGATGTAGAAGCTTGACGGTGATGGAAGCCAGATATAATAGTCATCTGGAGATTCAGGTGCTGTTGCTTGTCACAGGTGTTCGTTTCAATTTACCTGAGTACACATCACTTGACACACCATCAGCCGTACATATAATGTTGTAAGGTGGTTGGACATGAATTGTCAGAAGAAATGGTCTGAATGGAATATGAGCATCTGCCATTAATAAATTAATGCATCTATATTTGGAATGTATAAAACTGTCGTATTCTTGAACCTTTCTGACAGCCACAAGAGATTGGTGTCTGTAATTGGAACATTTTCCATTTATATTTTTCCCTTGAATGAACTTTGTACAGTACTGTTTTGGAATATATATTTCTTCCTCCTCTATTCAAGATGCTGTTACAGTGTTGCTAATACCTTGGTAACAACTGTACTGCAATATTGTCTTATTTCATGTCCAATCAACACCAAAGGTCGACAATGAAAGGAAATTTAAAGCATGAACTTTACGTTCTTTTGACCATCTATATCTTTTTAGTTTTAATGTATTTTTTTGTTAAAATTTAGCTGTTACGTGCGAGACATACATCCACTCACCAGAGGAAATGTCTCTAAAGTTTGATACAGCTAAACTCATATAGTGACATTGATTTGGTAGTCACAAAAAAATACTTCATTGTGAAAGATTTATAACCGAGATTGACAATAGTTGTGAAATAAGTTTATACATCTGACCATCCATATTTTGGATGGATAAGAAGAATTCAAGCATCAGATCAAACCAAAAGTTTAAAACTTTGAGTTTGTAGAGCATCCGATGTAGGCTGATTTATATATTTTATAAAACACTACCTATCTCTTTAAAACAAATTGTACATTCTATTTTTTTTTTTTTTTGTTGTTTAACGCAATATTCCAGCTACATGGCGGCGGTCTGTTAATGATTGAGTCTGGACCACACAATCCAGTGATCAACAGCATGAGCATCGATCTACGCAGCTGGGATACAATGACTTGTGTCAACATCGTTAGGATGAGAAAGCCACAATAACTCGGTGTGCCTAGTGGCAGCAAGAGTTGTATACACCCCAGGGAGTTGAGATTGCTAATACGATGTGCAGTTGATATTGACATCCAATGATTCGAGGGAAAAAAATACCAGCGCCTTGAGCATACACTAGTGTGTGGATATGTGCGCTATATAGATATCCTATAATATAATAATAATAATAATAATAACCAAGACAGCGAGCCTGACTGTTACAACCACCATGGGTTGCGATAGACCAATTCTAACCCCGGACCTTCACGAGTTGTAGAGTGTATCTTAATGTATTGTTGCATGATGTGATGCTCACTTACTGTATGAATACTAAACATGAAAATGTCACTGGCACAAAGCTATTATGTATATATTGTTGTTAGATGCACAGCAATGGATGGATGAAAGTAACTGTAAGTGCTGACAAGGTCAATAGGGCTGGTGGAAATTATTCATGTTTGTGCTAACTGTTCAAAAGTTACGAATCATTATGAAATAAGAAGGCTTGCAAATTTCATTATTGAATGAATCTTATGGAATGTTTAGTGTTGACATATGACATTGGAATTGAGAGAATGTCAAACTAGTTACATCATGTGTCTAAAAGGTTACAGACACTAGAGAATAGTGGACATTTCATTTCAACCAAGGTGATTTCTTGTAACCTTGGGCATACAGACAAGTGTTATTTTCCATTTCTGTGAATAACCGTGAAGATTAGAATTGGTTTTCAGATTAGAAGGTTAGAATTGGTCTTCAGCAACCCATGCTTGTCATAAGAGGTGACTGACTGAATCGGGTGGTCAGACTCACTGGCTTGATTGACACATGTCATCGTACCCCAATTACATAGATCGATGCTGTTGATCACTGGATTCTCTGGTCTAGACCCGATTATTTACAGACCGCCCCCATATAGCTGGAATATTGCTGAGTGCGGCGTTAAACAACACCCCAACCAACCATTCCTGTGAATGGAAACTAGTGTGCCACTATTGCTCTACTAAGGTCCAAATACTGCTCTTCTACTGTAGTTCTCATATTTGTCCTACTTTACCTCTACTCATGTTCTACTCCTCCTCTACTATTATCCTACTATTGTCCTGCTATTTCCCTACTATTGTCCTACTATTTCCCTACTATTGTCCTGCTATTTCCCTACTATTGTCCTACTATTTCCCTACTATTGTCCTGCTATTTCCCTACTATTGTCCTGCTATTTCCCTACTATTGTCCTGCTATTTCCATACTATTGTCCTGTTATTTCCCTACTATTGTCCTGTTATTTTGCTACTATTGTCCTGCTATTTACCTACTATTGTCCTACTATTTTGCTACTATTGTCCTACTATTTCCCTACTACTGTCCTACTATTTCCCTACTATTGTCCTGCTATTTCCCTACTATTGTCCTACTATTGTCCTACTATTTCCCTACTATTGTCCTGCTATTTCCCTACTATGGCTATACTATTGCCCTACTACTTTTGTACTATTGTCCTACTATTTCCCTACTCTTGTCCTACTATTTCCTTACTATTGTCTTACTATTTCCCTACTATTGCTCTACTATTGTCCTACTACTTTTGTATTATTGTCTTACTATTTCCCTACTATTGTCCTACTATTTCCCTACTATTGTCCTACTATTGCTCTTCTCGGGGTGGCGGGGGTAGCCTAGTGTATAAAGCGTTCGCTCGTCACGCCGAAGACCCCGGTTCGATTCCCTACATGGGCACAATGTGTGAAGCCCATTTCTGGTGTCCCCTGTCGTGATATTGCTTGAATATTGCTAAAATCGGCGTAAAACTAAACTCACTCACTCACTATTGCTGTATTATTGTCCTATCATTGCCCCACCATTGTCCTACTATTGCTCTACTATTGTCCTACTCCTGCTCCACCGTTTCCCTACTATTATCGTACCACCAGTGATAGACTGTCAATCAACAATCTGCTTTCTGTACAAGAGCGTCGACACAAGATGGCATAAAAATTCCACAATTCAATACGAGCAGGAACCTGCATCTCATCATCGACCGAATGTGACAGTGTTAGGTCACATAACAACATTATTTCCTGTGTTTGAATTACGCCTGTATTCATTAACTTAAACGTTAACATACTTAATGAAATCCACATTTCAAACTCTAACTGACATTTACAATGGTCCAGTTGACGCCATCATTCTTTGTAATATAAAATGGTGTAGGGTTAAGCCAGGAATACATAAACAACGATGAGGTACCGTCTCAATTAGATGTGTAGTTCAATCAGGCTTATGTCTGGCATTTCCGAGTCGCTTTGAGGTCATAAACATATTAACGTCACAAGTCCTAACGTGGGCAAGATGTGAGGTATTTGTGACGTGTGGGTTCTGTTAGGATGGGTTAATGTTTAGCACAAAAGACTGTCTGTGTAGTAAGCTATATAACTTTGAAACAATTTATTACTTCAGCTCAGATGCATAAATGTCAGTTGCCGGAACGATAGTAAATGTCAACAGCATCTGTGTTTGTTTATCAGATATTTCAGAGTTCAAAATTAAGATATTTAATGGTTCCAAATATTATTGTTTAAGGCTCAAAATCAGATGTTTCAGGGTTTAAAATGATATATTTCAGGGCTCAAAATAAGATATTTAATGGTTCAAAATTACTTTGGGGTATTTAGAAATGAAAAATGATATTATCAATGTTAATAAAAAAGGAAGAAGGTAACTGCCAGATATTTCAATGTTCATAATCAGATAATTCAGTGCCCCAAATTAGATATTTCATGGTTCAAAATTACACTGGAGTATTCAGAAATGAAAAGTGGTATTATCGACCTTGATGAAAAGGAAGAATGTAAAGTTCTGTCAACATGTTATCTTCTTGTTATTCTAGACCTTGCTAAAATGACATTCATGAAGTTTGATGATGGATTAAAATTGTTCTTATATCGGCACACTTCAATATCAAAGGGCACATTTGACATCTTTATGAGTGTGCAGAGACACAATTGCAAAAAAATCTGTTTCTGCATATAAACTTCTAAACAAGCGTTGTATTTGCTCAGCTCTGGGATGGTGACAAGTGTAGATTACAGCAGTTTCTGGACTGAAAGCGAAGAAGAAAGTTTCTAGAATTTGATTATATACTCATGCCAATAATGGTTGTCAGCCCCTCCCACCCCAACCCCACCCCAACCCCACCCCTCTCCAATAAAAATAATTGAAGGTGGTGACAACCATTATTGGCATGAGTATATTTTATTAAGATAATTTAGGATCTGTTTTTCTGTAAAATATGGGGGTGGTGGGGTAGCCTAATGGTTAAATCGATTCCCCACATGGGTACAATGTGTGAAGCCCATTTCTTATGTCCCCCACTGTGATATTGTTGGAATATTGCTAAAAGCAGTGTAAAACTATAAACTCACTTGTTCTCTGCTCTGCTGTGCTCTGCTCCACCTTCAACTCCACCAGGGCTTCAGATAAGTGCCGTATCAGCGTATGTATGGCTACAAAAATATGCACGATACGGTAGGAAATAATTTAGAAAACGTAGCAGATACGGACTACAGCAATGGTGTACGGTCTTCGAATCATTTACAGATGTATTTATCTAAAAAATTATTGTTTTATTGTTTTTTTACCTGTTTACACAAGAGTAGCAATGTTGTGGTGCATATATGAAAAGAAACACAAGATTACTGATAGTCCATTAAATTCCATTCTGTACTCTAAATGTTTTCCAGAACTCCTATAAAAAAAAAATAAGAAGTACATACTCCTGATGTTGAAACATTATCTGGAGCCCTGTCCACCCAAACAACATCTAATCTGTATGTTATGCATAATTGCTGAGAGGTCTGATACTTTCCTTGACAGTCCATGTTTTCTTGTTTCTTTGGAACATTATATACAGAAAGATGTCATGTAGGGAGGGAATGTATAGAAGTAATAAATCCCAAAACCATTATTTTCAGCGACAGTTACAATAAATTCTTTCACTGCCACTGATGAGAAATTGATCTTGCTGTGAAATATTTTAATGAGGATAGTTATTAAATAGTCAGTTTCCAAATCACCCATTGGGTTTAAAACTGAAATATATTATTCTAGCGAATTAAGATTTTTTAAATGTTTTAATGCCTGAAACATGAAACATGACATTTATGGGGAAGTGTTAGTGACAGATTTCATCTGAAGATGGAATCATGTACGTGGGAATTGTTCACTTTTATTGGCGACAGCACAAATGTCATACAGATTACATGTTACTTGTGACAACGTTATTCCATTGAAGTTGTTTTCATAATTCCCTTGTAAAGTTAGAGAATTTCAATATATTCAAGAGAATTCTTATTGTTTGAGGGGTGGTGGGTTAGCCTAGAGGTTAAATCGTTGGAATATGATGTTGGAATATTGCGAGAAACCTCACTCACTCACTCACTCACTCACTCACTCACTCACTCACTCACTCACTCACTCACTCACTCACTCACCCATTAACTCACTCACTCACTCACTCACTCACCCATTAACTCACTCACTCACTCACTCACTCTCTCTAATTGTGTGATATAGGTACAGAGAAGCAATGGAATAAGAAAATGACTTTGAAAATGATCTTACATCATGTACAGGTAGTGGTAGATTTAGTACAATACATAGCTACATCCTAACCTCTCAGGGGATGCAGGCTTCTATATAGAGTTATGTCCCCAAGCCATGTCAGGGTCTGCTGTTGACTGGGCCCCTGTCTAACTAAACTAGGCTGTGATTGGACGACACTAACCATTGCATTCATTGGTCCTAATGGCGTCAAATGACAACAAATTTGGAGAATGGGAAGTTTGTGAATTCAATGTGCTCTTGACAAAATTAAAAGTAGCAGAGCAGTTTGTTGTAATTATTTGAGCATAAACAAACTTTCGAAGGGAATGCATATCTCCATGTTTATTTGCTTTTGTTGGTAATAAACCCTCTGGATGGTATGCCTGCATGGCTATAACTGGATATTGTATAGATTTGTAGCTCTTTTTACGGACTGCCTGTTGGCTAATAGCGCAATCCTTACCTTGAATATTAGCAGTGGAGCCAGTTTGCTGCTTTGAATCCTATTTATGTTTTTTTATCCTTGGTTAGATATCAGCCTGTAGATGCCAACATTTGTTAACCATGCAGACATTATTTTTTTTGTAAATATTAAACATGTGTCAATAAAAAAAAGAAGTGAAAATATTCTTTGAAAAAAAAATTAATGAATTTTTTGCTGCTTGCTTCCCTGTTGTAACCGGGACAACATGACCCTGGATCTTTGTATTTATGTATTCTCTAAGATACAAATGTCTATAATGTTTATTCCTGCTTACTTCCCAGGTGTGGTAGGATAATGGTTAAAGCGTCTGCTCATCACGCTGAAAACCTGGGTTTGATTCCCCACATGTGGGTACAATGTGTGAAGCCCTGGTGAAGTTCTATGTCCCCTGCTGGGATTTTGCTGGAATATTGCTAAAAGGGATGTACAACCATACTCACTCACTCACTCACTTCCTAGGTGTAATAGCGTTGTTTACAAATCTCGGTACATCAACCCCTTCCTATGCTGATGTTGTCTATGTTATTATTTTGTATACCTGTGATGACACCGACTCAATTGTTCTTTCAGGCATGGCGTACGGCCAACTGTCAACGTTACCGCCAGTCTTTGGTCTATACGTCTCCTTCTTCCCAGTGTTCATCTACTTCTTTTTCGGTACATCGAAACATATATCTATAGGTAAGTCTTATTCTGTGTTGTAGATTTTGTTCCAATTATTTTTTTTTTGAAAATATATATATATATCTACAAAAAAGAATTATATATAATCCAATAGGAGCAATATCCTAGAACTGAAGCAATCTAAACTTGCCCAGTTATTCTTAACAAATTGTCAAATGTCTGTGAGACAGATGAGATTATGGCATTATGGCCCGGCCAGAAACCTGTGGTCCTGGATCTGAATCACAGCTTACCCTGATTAGGTTGTCAGCACCAGATCATTGCTCACAAGTTTTACCAAAGTGAAAGGCCTGGATCACATTTCTCCTACATCAAGCTGATGATTGTTGCCCTGATCTATAACTAAAATTCAGTTAAAGATGGCTTTAAATTTAGCTCACTCTCTCAAATCCTATACAAGCAAACATAAAGAACATTTTGCATAACCCTTTAGGTTCTAACAATACATACTGTCGAACACCAGTGTCAAATTTCGATTATCATGATGAAGTATTCCTGTCCCTGCATATTCTGTACTAGTATTTAGTCATCATTTTGCAGTTGTGTTAAAAGTCAATAACTTGAAGTATAAGCCTCCTTCCACTTCAAAACAGTGGTGTAAGATTTTGTAATTGTGAATGGTACATGAATATACAATGCCTTTCAAAAAGTAGTCAGATGTAACAAATGTTATATTTGGATAACGCTTTAGACTACATGTTTCTATACTTCCATTATTGTGGAAGTCTCAATGACTGAGTGGGTTAGATCGCTGACCTTCTGTGATACGATGCCTGGGTGGTTCATGTCCTGGATGGGACTCAACCCCAAAATTTCTAGAATTTGTACAAAATAACAAAGTGTTATCCTAAATATTACTTTAGTTAACTGTTAGATATAGCATAGATATAGCTTGTTTCTCCTTCATTCGGACCCGTGAAGATCCGGGTTAGAATATTGACCTACAGTAACCCATGCTTGTCGTAAGAGGCGACTAACGGGATCGGGTGGTCAGGCTCGCTGACTTGGTTGACACATGTCATCGGTTCCCAATTGTGCAGATCGATGCTCATGCTGTTGATCACTGGATTGTCTAGTCCAGACTCGATTATTTACAGATCGCCGCCATATAGCTGGAATATTGCTGAGTGTGGCGTAAAACTAAACTCACTTACTCAGTCGGAAACTAGTTGTTACATAATTATTCCCATCATGTTGAAGACTTCATTTCACCAGAAGGATGCTGTGTAAGCAGAATAAAAATTTGATGAACTTTAAGACTAAAATTCTCCAAACTTCTTGTCTTCCAGGAACATTTGCAGTAGTGAGTTTAATGGTGGGGTCTGTTGTGGACAAGGCCATGACATCTAAAGGCTTCACCAGTGATCAGTTAGAAGCATCAACCAAAAAGGATGTCACAACATTAGCGCCGATGCTGTTTAACTTGTCCGATGGCAACCTGACCTTCGGCAACGGCACCAATGGCACCAACACTGGTGGAGACGCTGAGATGGATGCTCTTATTCTCAGCACCAAACTCAAAATTGCCATGGCGGTGACATTTGGCATCGGATGCATTCAAGTAAGTGAAACCTGTCTCAGAAAGATAATAATAATAATGAGTCATCTTATATAGCGCACAGTCTCCAAACACCAAGTGATTCCTCGCGGCGCTTAATCAGAATGTTATTATTCTTACCCCGGATAACCTAAGTTGCCTGTTAGGCGCTAGAAGGTTATAGTCATGGTTTGCAAGAAACTTTACTAACTTCTATGTTCTATATATAATTTGCATCTTGGGATTTTCCAAAAATTATTTACTGGTATTTAAAATATCAAACTCAATATTTTAATGATATCGTATGCTGTAAAATACATGATACAAGATGCCTATTATAAACATTTAACTGAATGAACTTGATATGGAAATCCATTGTTTAAGCTACTGAGTGAGTGAGTTTAGTTTTATGCCGCACACAGCAATATTCCAGCTATATGGCGCCGGTCTGTAAATATTCGAGTCTGGACCAGACAATCTAGTGATCAACAGCATGAGCATCGATCTGGGATACGATGACATGTGTCAACCAAGCCAGCGAGTGTGACCACCTCATCCCGTTATTCGCCCCTTACAATAAGCATGGGTAACTGAAGATCAATTCCAACCCGGATCTTCATGGGTTAAGCTCCTGAACATTTATTTTTGCGTTTATACGATAATCCTGTTAATCTTTCCCTGCCAGTCAGGGACATGGGTAGTCTGTCTCACAGTCCCCTGAACCACATTATTTTCCCTCCCTGCAATGCCTTATAAGAAGTAAGTCTAAATTTCCTCAGGCTCTGAATTTCCGATCTGACTGGGGCTCCTTTTCAGTTTCAATGGATATATTTGTTACTATCAAAATTACAGAGACAAAGCGTTAGTCTAGGACATAGGTAGCTCAGTGGTCTAAGGGACCTTAATTAGCTATGATTTTGGTTCAAATCCAGATTCGTTCCATTATGTTTCAAGAAGGTGTGCCAATGCCATACCTGTTCTTGTAGGTTTTACCAAAGGTGTAAATGTCTGAGACCTGCATCCCTTTAAAGGCACTATATCACACTACTCTTCTCTAAAAATAAATGATACATTTCTCTCAATAATACTAACTATCAGACCCCCAAAAATTACGTGTTTAGATTACAATATTAAATTGAAAGGTTTGAATGAATTAATGCAACGTTGCATTAAATCAACTCTCGTGCCCTCTACCAACAGAACATTATTTCAAGTGTTACCCACAGAGTCCCTTGGAGCACCTTTTACGAATATCCTATAACTCCTTTGGACACAGGAGTCAGTCCTAGACAAAACAAATGTGCAAATTGTGATTGAAACCAGTTCATTGAACACCGACAACACCGCGTGCGAGCAATTGTTTACATTACTTATATGGCAGGTGTTATCTGTTTGGATGTTGTTCGCCCCTAAGTTTCAATTATCAATTTCAGGCAAGTCATAAGGGATAATAAGTCTTTTATTGCATCAATAGAAAGCAAAAGTGAGTGCATGTATATAATATAGGTGAAAGTATTGTTGAAAATCTGTGAAATTGTGCCTTTAATCTTTCCTCCCACATAAATCTGGCACGCCATGATAAACCCGGTCTACTATGAAAAACGCTTTAAACCTTTCGCATTTAGTCTTTGCCAATGATTTTTAAAGTATTTAAAAGCCTTGTATCTTCAATGCAATGAAACCAAACACACAAGCCATCGTCCATGTGTATGCATATGTGCCCTGATTAACTTTCATGGTTAAGTTCTTTACTTACACTGAAACCTCTTTTCATTCTTTACGATTTTTATATTTTCAGCTGCTGATGGGTCTCTGTCGGCTGGGTTTTGTTACAGTTTACCTGTCCGATCCCCTCGTTAGTGGTTTCACAACAGGTGCAGCGTGCCATGTATTCACAAGTCAGATCAAACATATATTTGGAGTTCAGATGGGCAGATACTACGGTCCTCTCAAACTGGTTTGGGTAAGTTACCTCCCTTTCACAAATGTCATGACATTCCTCACCAAAGTTTTTCCAAGAACAGATCAAACATATATTTTAGTTAAGATGGGCAGATAGATGCAACTGGTTCGGGTAAGTTACTTCCTGTCATAAATATCTTAAAATTCACTGTTCCCTCATTTTCAGGTTTTCATTTGTGAAACATGCTAGTTTCCTGCAACTAGTTAGCAGCTAGTATAGATAAAAGTAAATATTGTAATGAACTTCTATAATATGTGCAAGCCTGGCAAAATGAAATGAATGCAGGGAAGTGTTCCTTTAAATGAATGAAAATTAAAATTCATCATGGTTTGTCATTAGAACATTCTTGTAGTAAAATATTTTCAAATAGTTTGAAATTTATGCTTTATTTATGCTCATTTCTACGTACAACTACTGTTTGTGTCAAACCTAAATTAAGAGATATGTGAAAACATTCCTGTGGCATTCATCCAATATTTTCATTATGTTTTCAAAGAAAGACTATAAGTTAAATTCAAACGAAACTTACTAAATCTTAATGTTTTGGGGAAAAAAATTGTTTTTTCTGGATTTTCACTAGTTAATTGGAGTAAAAAACTAATGGCCATATGATGTAAAATGACAAGGTAGGTTAAGGGCACTGTTCTGCCTGACTGATATACATGATTTAATCTAAAACATTTACAAACATTTTAAAATTATCAGGTTTGTACATATGAATGTGAAATAGACTATGTTCAATTTACCAAATGCATCTTTGGGATTGATGACAGCACTAGAGGTGCACTAAGGGCATAGATAGGGCCCAAATGTGAAAAGGATGATTTTAGAGATTATAGGAAGCATTTTTCTCATATTCAAATTGAAAGTCTTTGACCAGAGATGATATTCATAGGAGATGTACATATTTGGTTATAAAGTCATCTTGCGTAGATAAACGTGCACATATTTAGATTTGGAAAAATAATTTTAAAAAATCATCCTCTTTCATTTCAATAGTGAGTAATTGAACATGGCAGATATATAAAGATTTGCAAAGGGAATTGTTTGACATTTGGTCATGTTGAATGATTTTCATACCATTATTACATATTTTTTGATAAATATAAGTTTCCAATAAGCCAACAGGGCCCTTACCATGCCTTTTCATCAATTTCAGTGATCCAGTATACGCCTTTTATCATCTATCCTTTGATGTTTAGATACACAGCGCAGTGAGGTAGCCTACTGGTTAAAGCGTTCACTCATCCAGCCGAAAGATCCTAGTTCGATTCTCCACATGGGGGAGCAATGTGTAAAGCCTATTAATGGTGTCTCCAAACATGATGCATTATTGTGAAAAAAGGCTTATAATTAAAACTTACATACACTTTAGTGAGTGAGTTTAAGTTTATGATATTCCAACAATATGGCAGTGGGGACACCAGAAATGGGCTTTACATTGTACCCATGTGGGGAATCGAACCCGGAACTTCGACTTGGCAAGCGAATGCTTCAACCACTAGGCTACACAACACACACTTTAAATACACAAGATAATTTCATTGAAACTAATCAGTCAAATGCGCCCAACACAGTTAATTCTCCTCTATCTTTTTTTATTTTCGAAAATAGGGGCAGTGTGGTAGCCTAGTGGTTAAAGCGTTTGCTCATCATGCTGAAGACCTGGGTTCAATTCCCCACATGGGTACAATGTGTGAAGTCCATTGCTGGTGTCCCCTGCTGTGATATTGCTGGAATTTTGCTAAAAGTGGCGTAAAACCATACTCACTCACTCTTATTTTCAAGTAACTAACAATTCAGCACACAAATTAACATTTACATAGCTTTTCTAAAATAAATGTCTATGAATGGACAGTAAGAGTTTATTGCCTGTTCTGTGCCAAGACACTGCTAGGTGACATTCTATTACAGAGTGAGATGTATTTCCTGATGTGTTTATACTCCCGCTGGAAACAGAAGGCGTTTATTTCACCGTCCAATGAACTTTAAGTGCTTTGTCAAGGATATTGTTGCCTGTACAATCAGAATGCATTTCATGTTTCCCTTGAGGGCAAACAAGAAAGTTTTACATTTATTAACTAACCCCAAGTAGAGCGAAACAAAGGGTTATTTAAGACTTTAAGCTTTTGGGTGTGTGGAAATATTTTCTGCCTGTTTTATATGTAGAGGCTTTGCTTTTTGAGAAAATAGATTATTGTTTTTCTGTTTTATGTTTCAGTTTTGTATTAATTAATTCATAAAGGTTATGAGGTAGAAGTGTTATTGTCGGCACATTATTTTATCGTTTTATTCAAGAATTATGTTGTCATTTTCATTGAAAATTATTTAGGTGATAATTATATTTTACCATTTTGAATCAAGTGATTTGATTTACAATGTTAAATATTTGTTATATTTATATATATCTCAAAATAGAGATCTAAAGGTGATTGAGTGAGTTTGTTTTACGCCGCACTCAGTAATATTCCAGCTACGTAGCAGCGGTCTGTAAATAATGGAGTCTGGACCAGACAGTTTGGTGATCAACAGCATGAGCATCGATCTGCGCAATTGGGAACCGATGACATGTGTCAACCAAGTCAGCGATCCTGACCATCGGATCCCGTTAGTCGCCTCTTACGACAAGATATAAAAGTTTTTTTGGAATTGGAGCAATGAAAATTTTGCAATATTTTGAATATTAAGAGGTTGTAATAGTTATGTCGTTTATTTGGTTTGTGAAACACGTTTACCAATCCAAAGCTTCTGATAAGAAGGGACTTAACAGGATCAGGTGGTCAGGCTCGCTGACTTGGTTGACACATGTCATCATATCCCAACTGCATAGTTAATGCTCATACTGTTGATCACTGGATTGTCTGGTCCAGACTCAATTATATTTACAGACTGCTGCCATATAGCTGGAATATAGCTGAGTGCGACGTTAATCCAACCAACCAATTGTGGCTGATGCATGCCATCATATCACAACTGTGTCGATGGATAATTTGTTTAATGTTGATCACTGGATTGTCTGGTCCATTCTTGAGTATTTGAGTGCCACCATATAGCTGGACAATTACTGAGTGCTGCCTTAAACAACATACAAACCTTTCAAAACAAGATACAGAACTTCCATCATTGGAAAGCTGTATGTTACAATACCCATCAGCCATGTCAGATTAACTATAAAACATAACATTTGAATAACAAAATCAAGCATTCTTTTTAGTAGCATACATTATGGCCATATAATGACATTTTTAATAGGAGGTGATAAGGTAGAATGTCACTGTATCTTTCATGTGTTGTTTTTATGTTGATGTGAAAATACCACATAAGTAAAAATGTCAAGCCGTACAAACGATCCACGCTTGACACTGTGAAATCATGTAGCTTCAGAGTGTCATGGTTTATTCTCCTCGTACCTCTAGTGTGTTTCCTTGAAGCTGCTTTCAAATCAATATTGTCTCTGAGTGGCTGTAGAAAATGTAGCTAAGGTTTGGTTGCACCAGTGAGCGGTATAATCAGTTGTCAGGAGATCCCTCCAAGCACTTGTTTGTCTAATTTTTAAGTTTTACAAATCGTGAATAAAATGAAGTCGATTTAAGGCATTTCTGATATCAGTGATCAGGGTTTTTGATATTTCTTTCACAAAAAAACTTACTAATTATATTTTGGTTGGTTTTAGTGTCCTCAGGATAGAGTGGTTCCTTGGAAAATTCAGAAAATCTGTTGATGATGCTTGTAAAATCAGTGAACCCTGAAGGGACAAGTTGATTCTATTTCCGGAATCAACAGATTTGAGTGACTTTATTCAACTTAAACTGTTTTATGCATATTTTCTCTTTGATCTTGCATCGTTACCCATGGGCGCGTAATATTACTTCCCAAAAATGCATGTTCCAAAAGGTCAATGAATTCTGTATTCAGAATTAACTGTAACAACAAGAGCATGGCATTATCATAGTGGCTTCAAAAACTCCTATCTAGCTTTCTAGTTAAAGCTGACGATGTCAAACTTAGGGTTGATTTTCTTCATGGAATCAAAGTGTGAAGACCATTCTTGATTCCCAGTATGGTGATCTACCTTCAGCTGTTGGTGAACTATAGCCCATGTATTGTGTTGTCTTCTTTGATTAATATGTTTTAGTTTTACATGCTAACTTTATATTCATATCTGTGATACTCTAGTATTTTTACTGTCCATCGTCGACAGGTTTTCATTTTCAGAATGTTTTAATCTTCAAAATGTTTTCATCTTTATTGTATAAAATGTTTTTAGATCCGCGATATGGCGAGATATTGCCGATGTGACGTTAAATATTAACTCACTCACTCACTTGATTCCCCACTGTTATATGGCTAGCATATTGCTGAATACAGAGTAAAACCCAGCTCACTCACTCACTCTCTCCTCTCATTCACTCTCATATTCTTTTTCCTCTCACTTCTCTCACTCACTCACTCGCTTCTATCAGTCAGTGTCTTCTCTTTCTTCTCTCACTCTCTTCTCACACTCGCTGTTTTCTCTCATTTACTCTCTCTCTCTCTCTTACCTCTCTTACACTTCTCTTACTCTCTTCTCTAACTCACTCACTATGTTGATACTTGTTTCTACCAGTGACAGTTGTCATGTTTATTCCAGTCGTACCGAGACTTCTTCATGAACATCCCTCAGACCAACGCTGTGACCCTCATTGCCTCCATCATCTGCATCTTGATGCTGGCGGTGGTCAAGGAGTGCATCAACAACAACCCTAAAGTCAAACCCAAGCTCAAGATGCCCGTGCCTATAGAACTCATTGTGGTTAAGTAATGTGGCTTGCTTAACACTTTCGGCTTAACACTTTCGCTTAACACTCGGCTTAACACGGCTTAACACTTTCGGCTTAACACTCGGCTTAACACTCGGCTTAACACTCGGCTTAACACTCGGCTTAAGTCTGTTTATTTTGAGCTGAATGGCCATAATTATCCATCATTGTTCGGCGTCTATTTTTAAAAGTTTGTGAATTATATACAGTGTAATATTTGATTCTTTACATCCTTCCATCCTTCCATCCATGACCAGACCTGTGAAGATCCGGGTTAGAATTGATATTCAGTAATCCATGCTTGTCGTGAGAGGCGATTACAGGAACGGGTGGTCAGGCTCCTGATTGACACATGACATTGTATCCCAGTTGCGTAAATCGATACTTGTGATTTTTTTTTTCATCACTTTATTTCTTTTTTGTGTGGGTATCACAACATGTACAACATACATTTTCAACATAGCGTACCTTGTAGATTGTGATTTTATTATCCAAAACTGTGTTGCACAGTAGATATCGCTTGTGTGAGATCAGACGATATCTCCTAGGAGATATCGTTTTGACAGTAGATTTTGTACAATGCCTGACAATGCTATGACATCATGAACTTGTTGACGTCACAATGTTATGACATCGCTGCACTGAAAATCTAATGGAGTACTGTGTTCAGAGATGTACATTTTTCATTGAAAACTAATGAAGAGTGATTTTTGATGATAAATAGAATCTCACCCTCGTGTCTTCTGATATCAAATATATCAACACTCGTTGATAAAAGTAAAAATAGCCTCGGCAAGCCTCGGATATTTGTTACTTTATCAACCTCGTGGTGATATATTTCATATCAATAGACACTCGGATGAGATTCTCTATTTAATCACTGGATTGTGTGGTCCAGACTCAATTATTTACAGCTTATAGCTGGAATATTGCTGAGTGAGGTATTAAACATCCTGTCATCCAACCAACCACTTGTAACTTCAACTGTTTTTAAACCAACTGCGTATCTTGTAGGTTGTGCTCGGTACTGTGATTTCCCAGTTTGCCTACCTGAATACAAACTTTGACGTGAAAATCGTTGGTGATATTCCAATTGGGTGAGTTATAAACCTGCCTTGTGTGCATCATTGTATTTCATCGCACCTTCTATGTTAAATGAACCTGGAATGTGACATAGTGTATATCAGTAAAGCTGAAATATACTGACGTACATAAGAAAGAACACGCTTGGTGTTTTGGGACTATTCCCTTTAAAACCATAAATATTTTGCTAGCATTGTTGTAATTGGGTACAATATCTGTGGTGTTTTGGAAACACTTGCACAATGTTTGTGACAAGGCAGAATCAAAACACTTTTTAAATATTAATGCTGTTTTAAAGAAAATATTTTACTAAAGAATCACGTCAGTTTAGGAATGACTGCTGAAATAGGAATAAAAGAAATATGTAAGAATACCCATCTTTTACTTTAAAACAACTGTAAGTTGGATACATCAAACAGAATATTGTTTTAGGGTTTTGAATTTTTCATTTATAATTTGCATTATATAACTTTGTGACTTTCAGCATCCCTCCCCCAAAGGCACAACAGTTTGAGTACCTCCCTGATGTCGTCAGCGATGCTGTAGCTGTGGGAATTGTTGCGTTTGCCATCTCAGTGTCCATGGCAAAGATTCTGGCCAAGAAACATGACTATGAGGTTGATTCTAACCAGGTACAGAGACCTATGTCAAATAACTGGTATCAAACATGTGAGATTGAATTCAAGCTCCGTGATTGGCTAGTCCGTGGTGATGACCTGAGGTCAGATTTTGGCAGACTACTTTCCTGATGGTATATCATACATAAGTTGATCATGCATCAGTCAAACTCACTCATGTCTGTGTTGAAAGTTTGGTGTAATGTTAAGAAATTATCTGAGGTTGTATCCAGTTTTCATCATCATCTTTGACTTGACAAGCCATATAGTCTGTTTGCAGTGAAAACGTACCGATGAATTTCACTTTAAACAACAAAGTAAATCAAATTAAGTGAAATTAAGATTGCGAATCCTCATAATTTTACCTTGCCAAATGAACATTTAAATCTCAGAATTTTATTCAACTTAGGATAAAAGTTGTTTAACAAACGATCATAGATTCAAATCGCTATTTTTGGTTTGTATTACAAGGGGTAAAGTTTAGTAGATGGAACAGTGAAACAAATGCACGTGCTGTACTTGATGAGCGAGAACTTAGACCAGCCCTACTTGTTCTCGGTGTTTCATCTAATGTGCATACCCCCTTGTAATACAAACCAATAATAGCGATTTGAAACTATGATCATTTGTTAAGCAACTTTTATCCTAAGTTGAATAAAATTCTGAGATTTGAATGTATACTTTTTTGTTTAGAGTGAAATTCATCGGTACGTTTTCACTGCAAACAGACCATAGTTATGACGGAAACTTTGTGTGGAGGGTCACACTTGGTAAGAGTAGTAAGTAGTAGGCTGGATGACGTCACAAATGACCATTGTGTTTTGTATTAATGCACTTCAGTGATCATGAAACTAGAAAATATATATGTCGATTCAATACTAAAAAGGTCAGTGTTACAGATTGCTGCAGACTGACATCATTCATTTTACAATTCATTGTTTCAAAACAGGGTTAGCTTGATTTCATTTGTTTCATTTTGAAACAACTTATTGTGAGATGATAGTATATGACAGATCGGTGATGTATTTCTGCTGCAGGAGCTGCTGGCTACGGCACGGCATCGTCAACATCTTCAGCTCCTTCTTCTCCTCTTTCTGCGCATCAGCCTCACTCTCGCGTAGCTTGGTGCAGGAGGGGGTCGGAGGTCGCACTCAGGTATGTGCACAGTTAGCTCCCTTGGTTATAGAATATCCAGGGATCGGTGAATTCGTGATGTCGTCATCTTATTGACTGTCAGAGCTACCTTATGGGAGGTGAAAATATTGCTTTATTATGAGAGAACCAGCATTGGTTGCTTGGGACCTAATTCTTACCTGGAACCCAAAGGTAGACAATCAAGGTCGTTGGGAACCTTTTTCAACCAGGACTCACAATTAGAGGACCTTCCTTGTATGCTAGGAACCTTTTCTTACGTGGAACCCTTTGGGTGGAACAGCCTACGTCGGACCCCACAGGGTACTCGATCCAGCCTGGATGTAACCAGTGTGTTGTGTTTCAGGTTGCGGGGCTGTTCTCCAGTGCTCTCCTTCTCATTGTGCTGCTGGTGGTGGGGCCATACTTTGCCTCCCTCCCTAACGTAAGTAATATGATGAGTGAGTGAGTGACTAAATGTTACCTTAAGCCGCATCAGCAGTATTGCAGCTATTCACGGTAGAAAATCAAATATTTCCTTTGGATGATGATTATTCTATTAACATTACAGTGGTACTTGTACCTCTGAAAGTAACAGCAGATCGATGCTCAGGCTGTTGATCACTGGATTGTCTGGTCTAGACTCGATTATTTACACACCGCCACCATATAGCTGGAATATTGCTGAGTGTGGCGTAAAACTAAACTCACTCACTCACTCACTGAAAGTAACAAATATATGCGTATGATAATATATAAATTTAATGTTCATGTTCATGAAAATATTATCAAAATGCTAATGATGTATCCCTTGTTAAGATTTCGTCAAACCAAATTTAAGAGGTTTTGAAACATAACCATTTTTATAAATTATGATGAATATTGATGATGTTATGTTAATAAGTGTAATCTTAAAAAGTAGGGAATGGCTGAAAAGTGGCTAAAAGTTTGATTTAGTTCTAATCTCTGTATTTCAGTGTGTGCTAGCTGCTATCATCATCGTCGCTCTGAAGGGCATGTTCAAGCAGTTCTTTGAGCTGAAACGATTATGGAAAATATCCATTGTAGATTTTGTAAGTATATTTCATGCAAGATTCACTTAAATAACTGGTGAAAATCAGGGTTAGAATTAGTCTTCAGCAACCCATGCTTGTTGTAAGAGGCAACTAACGGAATCGGTGGTCAGACTCACTGATTTGCTTGACACATGTCATCATATTCCAATTGTGTAGATTGATGCTCATGACGTTGATTACTGGATTATCTGGTCTGGTCCGCCTCAATTATTTACAGACTGCCACCATATAGCTGGAATATTGTTGAGTGTGACATTGAACAACAAAAAAAGACAAAAGTGGAATATGTTAAATTTCATTAATCATTATCCCGTTGTTTCAGCACTTCTCAAGTAAGTGATGTTGATATGAGTCTTCAGTTGCTGATTCTCTGTGTTCTCCATTTCCTGCAGATGGTGTGGTTAGTGACGTGGTTTGCTACAGTCCTCCTGGACGTTGACCTCGGTCTTGGCGTCGGCGTGGGATTTGCTCTCCTCACTGTTATAGTCCGGTCTCAGAGGTCAGTAGCCGCTCCAGGAGAGTTGAACTAACTTTCGGCTATTGCTTACTTCTCCAGGGACAGTAATATGAAAAATTATAAATTCTTTTCAAAGCTTTGTTCCTTAAAATGGCAGAAACATGGGGTTATCAGTTCAAATCCTGGTTCGCCCTGAAGATATTTCTACATGTGTCACAATACCCATGCTTCAGGGTTTAACCAAAATGATATTCTTTATAAACTTGCATAATCTTTGCTTTGTTACCACATAAAGCTCACATGCCATATAACTAAAAATAGCTAAAAACGTTTTGGACCCTCCCTCACTCACTCCGAAGACCGGGTTCGAATCATAGGTACAATGCTTCATTGATGTTGCTGGAATATTGCTAAAAGCGATAAAACCAAAACTCAGTCATTGCTTGTCTATTGAAATATTCTGAAAAATTGGAACACTCTCATCTGTGTCAGTCACAGTATAGGTCATCATTCATCATGTGGGTACATGTGCAGTATATGTGTGTGAATTTGTGCACCAAAACCTGGAATTTACACAATCATGAGCCCTGAATCAGCTTCATCATTAGAAAAGAGTTATCTCCCCCTACCACAAGCAGGTTGACGGACCTGTCTGGAAGAAGGTCCACGAACATGTGGTGTCACCTTGGGCAGGTGTTTGTAACATGCTTCTGTTCACCCAGCAGTTAATGGGTACCCGGTAGGATGAGGATATAATAAAATTCAGCTGGTCTCTGTGTGCTAGGAGGACGAAATTAGCTCATGACTCATTTAAGCAGACACACACCTGTTCTATAAGAGCAGACGTCTTTTATGCGACATTTAACACCATTTCACATCACCATGTTAGGTTGAGATGCATGTTGCCATTTGTAGTGGTGTATTTGTATCTCTGATTGTTTGCAGGCCATATGCATGTCTGATGGGGCATGTACCGGGCACAGATCTTTACAGGGACATCAAGGCTTACAAAGCCGTAAGTACACCCATGTTGGCTAATTGTTGTTATGTTCTTTAGAACATTAATGAGGGAAAGATGCTGGTAGGTTGCAAGTCTTTACTTCATAACCACATGGTAAGGTTACACCTAAAAATGGTAGCCTGTAACTAACACGGAATAAGAGTTAGGGTATAATATAAAAGTGTAACTGCAAAGAGGAATGGGTACTTATTACAACAATTGTGTTTGAAGTACCTTCAATACTGCAATGTTCTTCAGCAAATAAACTTATTATGAATTCATGAAATATAACCCTAACAGTTTCTGGATGCCAGTATTCCTCCATAGTAAAGTAGGTCCCCAGTAACTGATCAAATGGTTATGCTCTGTGACTCAATGGTTGACCTACCTTGACACATGGACGTTCATGATCCTGACTCGTTCATGATATCTATCAGTGGATTGTCGGACCCAGATTTGATTATTAACAGGCAATAGTCAAATAGCTTGAAATCTTGCAGCATTAAACACCAAGCACACACGCATTGGGTACCTATTCACACAAAAACAATATGCCTCCAAGAATACTGTTTTTCTCTAAATGGATACTATATATTTCTAGATATAGCCTGTCTCAAGTCCCTCAACCATATTATTTCCCTTCCACTAGCCCTTTCTGTAATGCAAAAGTCCTGAAAGAAACAAGTCTATTTTTTCCCGGGATTTACCATCTCTCTGGAACTCCAGTTCAATTTAGGTAGAATTATATATTTCCACTAAAATTACATACTTCCAGAGATTAAGCATTAGTCTAAAAGTACACAGGCTTTTCACAGGACATTAACCTGTGGACCAAAATTATTTTAACAAAGTAACTAAATGATATTTTTGTAGCTTCATCTGTTTAATTGTAAATGTTTTAAAGGACCAAAACTGGGCGATGCTCTTGTGAGCAATGTTATTGGTTATGTTTCTCACATTAATCAAATTGGCATATTAACCGTCTGGATATCTAATGCACTTAAATCACCACTACTTCTCACGTGAGATATTTGTACACACAACATAGACGCACGTAATCTTGTTTGTTCATGTTGTCATGTGAGACATACAAGTAGGTGTTTGAAATGGTTCGTGTTGACGTAACCAGTAAGTGTTCAAAACTAATAATCAGCAGATTGTAATACAATGATCAAGGTTTCATGTGCGTCACTATTATGAATCTTTTGAATGGTATCAGCATGTGTTTAGTTGTTAAAGTGCTACATTTCAAAGAGTGAAAATACATCAATACTTTAATATTTCGTCTTTTGTCCTCACCAATAATGTTGGTGTCATTGCTGAGCGTGGGACACAACTTACCTGAAAAACAAATCAACACTCAGTTTGAAAAGTAACGGTTTAATGTTTGCAATATGGCATATATCTATATAAGTCTTTTCAATTACATTTTAAATGGTCTGTCCCATATCTACTGCTCCAAAGTTTTTTTTGTATATGTGTAATCAACCTAGCAGTGAGAATGCACTTTGAAGTACTTCAACACTGAGAGTGTACAGAGAGACAGGTGTACTGACATTTGAATTAACTGAAAAAAGCCTTACCAAATAACTGTCAGTTTGAGTGTGTAGTTTTGTATAGAGTGAGTGAGATTTTATGCAGCTTTAAGCTGTATCCCAGCAATATCACCGTGGGGAACACCAGAAATGGGCTTTATACATTGTACCCATGTGGGGTATTTGAACCCGTGTCTTCAAGAGAACGCTTTAACAAGTAGACTGTCCCACTGCCCCTTTGTATATATGGATACTGTAATATTAACAAATCAAAATTAAACGTGATGTACATCAATGTACCATATACCTGTAATAACACATCTAATATGGGAAACAATGAATTATTTCCTCTAAACTGTGGCAATGCCGCCTGCACCCCCAAGTCTAGATTTTCAGCAGTTTCAGGCTCTGAATCTTCCATCTCACTGGGGATCTTTTTCAATTTACATAAAGTTACTTGTTTCTGTCAAAATTATGTGTTTTAATAGACTAAAGATAAGTCTATCGATTAGTTATGGAAATCGCCCTCAAACACAGATTTTGATTTGTTCTAGAGACAGAGAAGGTTCATGTGAAACACTCACAATCATTGCTCAGAAATACAAATATTTTCTAAGGGAGATAACTCTTCCTGTTATCAGTGGCATTACACAGAACTTTCTCTCCAGGCTGCTGAAATCTCAGGAATCAAGATCTACAGGTTCGACTCTGCTCTGTTCTTTGCCAACACGAACATTTCAAACAGACTGTCTACAAGCTGGCAGCTGATCCCAAAGCTCTGAAGAAGTCCATCAAGAAAGCCAGGAAGCTCCAGAAGAAACAGGCTGGCTCAGAGACACAGATTGTCAAGGTAAGCCAGCCAATGGCATCAGTGCGGTGAGTGAGTTTGGTTGTCACGCTGCTTTTAGCAATAATCCAGCACTATCATGTCCAAAATGGGCTTCACACATTGTACCCCTAGTATGTCTCACAGTCCCTGAACCACAGTATTTCCCCTACTGCCAAGCCCTCTCTGCAGTGCTAAAGCCCTAAATAAAGCAAGTCTACTTCCTCAGGTTCAGAATCTCTGGTCTCACTAGGGCTCCTTTTCAATATAAAAGGGCTTGTTTGTTACTATCAAAATTATATATATTCAGAGACTCAAGCCTTAGTCTAATTGTACCCATGTGGGAAATCGAACTCAGGTCTTCGATGAGACACAGTAAATGCTTTAGCCAGGCTAGCACACACACAGACACACACACCTCCCACACCCCACCACCCCAATGGTATCAGGGACACAGTTTTATTTGGTGTATACATTCAAGTCCTTGAAAGAACTATATGTACCCACTTTCTGGATTAGGTTTTGTACATTTTGTACATTATTTTTCTAGCCTTCTCGTATAATCTTATTTTTAGTGAAAAAACAATTCTTATCAGTTTACTTATTTTGAGACCGCCTCCGTGGTGTAGTGGTTAGAGCGTCCGCCTTGAGAGGGGAAGTTTGCGAGTTCAATGCCCGGCTGCATCATACCAAAAACATTAAAATATGGTACTTGTTGGGACTGGTCGGCTTGGAGTCAGCATAATGTGTCTGAGTGGTGTATTCATGCTTAACTCTAGCATGGTATCTCAGTGAGCTATCACTATCAAACCAGCTTAAGTCTGGGTTAGTACAAGCAGCCACATATACATACGCATGCACATAATCATATGAGCGAAATATTCTCAAGTACAATGATAAATCCGGCACTTCACCTCACCTCACTTATTCTGAATGACTGTTTTGATCATTTCCGAGCATGCACACTTTGATCGCTGTTTTAGGAAGAAACAACTTCAATTAAAACAACCAAAACTATAATTTTAAATTGATTTTACACCTAAATATACATATAATTCTGTCTATTGTGAATTCCTCTAGGCCTCCATTAAAAAGCAATGGGGAACTGTATTTGAGGGTGTGACATAGACTGCTGAAACATGCTATACAGATGTCCCTTGGCATCCATGGCGGCTGAGATGTTTATGTTTCATGATTGTGATATTTGCAGGAGACAACAAACAATTCGACAGATGTTCATTTGCGGATATCATCAGAAAACGTCAGTACAATTCCAATGCGAGGCTCTGAAGTCCATACAGTGATCATCGACTGTTCTACAATGAGTTACGTCGACTCGGTTGGCGTGAAGGTTCTCGGTCAGGTACGTAGTTCTGCAGTGACAGGTAAAATAGTATCTGTTTAGAAATGATACATTTACTTCATGTGTATGGATATGAGTGCTTGTGTAGTGCTGAATTATTTGCTGACCTGCATAGAACAATGCTCATGATGTTGATCACTGGATTGTCTAGTATTTTTAACAGACTGCTGTCATTTAGATGGAATATTACAATATATTATATTATTATATGGGTATTTATTTAGCGCTATTGTCCATTCTATCTACATGCATGCTCAAAATGCTTTGTTTTTTCCCTCGATCACTGGATCTTAACAGCACATCGTATTTTCAATCTCAACTCCCTGAGGAGCATACAACTCATGCAGCCACTAGGTGCACCAAGTTAATGTGACTTTCCCATCCTTACGAGGTACCCATTCACAGCTGGGTGGACTGGGACACATAGTCACAGTACATTGTCGTTGTCAATGAGTTTCCGCTGCATTACATGACGTTCTGTCTGTTTATGCGTAGTCGAACCAAAGCATAACTAGGTGCATCTGTTAATCATGAATCCTGCCACCATCTGGTCATATACCAACGGATTACCAACGGTTCCGTGGGTTCTTTTAAGTGCACAGGGTTATGTACTGTACACTACACCAATGTACAACAAACAACAATGATTTTTTAAGAACTTTCGTAATTCAATATATTGACAAAGTTATTATTGCATCAGTGTCTGTTCCTAGAACTACAGGGAAAGTACTGATCTTGTCTCTCACGTTTGACTTTGTAACAAATCTTTATTGTTCATTCTCGCTGTGTTCTCAGGTAAGATCATAAGGAAGATTGTAGTTTCAAAAGTTATATCACTACTGAACAATTTTGTCTTGTATTCTCAAGTGATGAACTTTGATGTTTCAGGTGATTAATGAACTGAAGGATGTGAATGTGTCGGTGCTGTTGGCCCATTGTAAAGGTGAGCATTCTTCAGGGTCACAGACAAGTTTCCATTAACATTCTGTATGAATTGTTTTTCTCCCTTGGGTATTTTCACACCAGTGAATAGTATTTTGTTTAAAATGATGATTGTAATTCAAATGCAGTTTTAGTTTAACTCTAATTTGAATGTGTTATTATAGTATTGAATGTTTTTAAAAAAAAATTCTGGAATTCTAAATTATTTTTGATTGTGGTGATTTATTTTGCTTATTTTCCCCAAATACTCATCCCTGTCTGTTCGTCAGAGTTTATGGCAGTTCCTTCAAGTCGCGGTCTGATAGGTTAAGAAGTTGGAAATAGAAATTGAAAGCTTTTGTCTCTTGCTACTGACCATGTGTGTGTGTTATAGTGGACGTACGTGAGATGTTTGAGAAGACAGGCTTCTTCAAGACCAACGACAAGGAACAAGTGTTTGTCACTGTCCACGACGCCGTCCTTAGTGCACAGAGGAAGGCGCTTCCATCTAACGGGGTAAGGCTATAGATATTGAAATGAGGAGGTTACTCATCCTTCAGCCCTCCCACTGAACCCTCGTACATACCTACATCGGTATCAATGTAGCAGCAGCAGCAACATTCTCACCACAACTGAAAAAAATTGTTTTCACTTCTCTCTATCCTTCTCACGACCTCTCTCATCTCAAGCCTATCTGTCTCACTCCATCATCCTCCATCTCACTTTGACCACATTCATCTCACTTTGACCACATTCATCTCCATGCGACCACATTCATCTCACTGCGACCACATTCATCTCACTCCATCATCCTCCATCTCACTTTGACCACATTCATCTCACTGTGACCACATTCATCTCACTGCGACCACATTCATCTCACTGTGACCACATTCATCTCACTGCGAACACATTCATCTCACTGCGAACACATTCATCTCACTGCGAACACATTCATCTCACTGCAACCACATCTATTTCACTTCGACCCTCCATCTCACCTCGACCCCTTCATCTCACTTCGCCAACAACCATTTCACCTCCACCCCTTCATCTCACTTCGCCAACATCCATCTCACTCTGACGACATCCATCTCACCCAACCATATCTGTCTCACCTTAATCCCCATCCATCTCACCATAACCTATCCCATCTGTCTCACCTTATCCTTCGCACCTCAACCCCATATGCCTCACCTGAATTCAACCTTCTCACCTGACTCTTTGTCTCACTGCATCGTCATCCACCTCACCATGACCGTCCTCCATCTCTCCACACTCCCCTTCTGGACCACCTTTAATCAACATCATGAATTCACCAATCTTCAACCATTCCAGAATATAAAGAATGGCCGTGCCAGTACCACAACGAAGGCAATTGAAGAAATAGCAGACTACGATAATGGCAATTCTGCCGACGCCGAGAACTACCAGCTGGACTCAATGGTAAGGTCAGTGTTACTAGATGGCATCAATATCTGCATGATTCACGTGTGACTCACCACATTTTGTTAAACACACCTTACTCACAAAGGCCTGAACAAGCTTCTTATATGGCATCTAAAGTGGAAAATTTCTTATAAAAATATCTAATGACAATGATTTCCAAATGCATTGGACTAAGCATATTATTCAGAGACAGACACCATCAGAAATGGCTCCAGAATCAGGGCTCCGTCACACAAAGTGATCTTAGCTCTAAGGTAATCGTAAGTCCCTTACCATACTTAAAAATGGCTTACGATTGACTTAGCATCCACGGTCTCGATCCACAAAGCGTTAGTAATGTTATGACCTGTCGTAACTCTATAGTTTATCTTAGGCTTACGAATGTCGTATGGCTACGAACATTGTGTGGATCGGGACGCTGATCACTTTGTGTAAAGGGGCCAAGGAACCTAGTAACTGATGCTTGTCATAAGACATGACTAAATAGATCATCAAGGTCTTTTTTTGTTCAGGGCTTATACAAATGTTTTTGATATGGTGAAAGTATTTTTGTTCTACCTTTGATGCTTTTTGCTACCTTAACCCTCTGTGACCAATGCACTAGTGACTAGTCCATATCTGCCTCTGGGGATATTTGTAGTTTGCGTTTAAGGATGCCCACAGGTCTAACAAAAACTTGCCCTGAGAGAGATAGTTTTAGTGTCTGGTAGCGGCATCTCACTGCATGAAGTGACCACCTGTTGAACACCTATTGACCACTTTATAAAACATTTTATTTATCGTGTTTATTGTTTATCGATTGATAAATGCTGTTCAAGTAAGTCATTTTGATGTTATATTGCATGACATCATCTTCTAAAATAACTGGGCACTTTTGAAAACACAAAAAAACAGCTGGCATTCTTAAAACCACAGACACAGACATGTGGTTTGGCTGTAATTAGAAAAGAAGCAAATGACTTGTTTAATCCTTGAGTCTTTGTGTATTGTGTTAAAATTTGAATTGCAAGCGATTATACAACCTTAAACATTGCTCTTTTTCTCGCATGGTTTCACAAATGTTGAACCAAATCTGGTAACAAATTTCAATAACAAGAGATCAGATGTGACAGACATGGAAAGGGAGATAACTCTTGACTCAGTAACGAAAGCTCTGTACAAATCAAAGCAGCCATTCCTTTGGCAGTGTATTCACAAATCCAATCATAATTATTACAAATAAGATAATGTTTGTTAAAATAATATGAAATTAAATTTTCAAAAATAATCAATATTTTTAAAATTAAACCCTAATTTTAGAAATAAACATTAATAATCCAAGCAATGAAAAAGAGCCATGGTTTTCGACTGTATGAATTATTGCATGATTCCAAGCAGAAGTTGGTGACTTGCCTTCGTAGAATGATTTATGCTGACGAAGACCTCAGCATGGAATCCTAAGTTAACAAACATTATGTTTTTCAGAGAGCGCCTTTAGCTGATGCAACGCGGCTGTGATAATCATGATCCTCATTTCAAATGGTGTGTTTACATTTTGATTATCTTACCTTTGAGGATTTATATTCTCAATCAATGCAACTAGTGTTCTCATTTTAACAAGCCAAAAGGCAACAGGTGTTCATAAGGAGACCATATCTTGCTAGTTTGATAGTTCATTCCAGATTGTAAAAATTCCATATCCTAATACATCACAAAAATATGCAAAAGCATTTCAGTATTATTCTCAAACCATGTAAATAAATGGTTGTAGAATGATACTTCCTGAAAACAACTATAAAGAAAGGCAAATTAAAACTGAGAAATTACAAAATTCAAGAGTCTTTCTTTCAAGAAAGACCTTTTCCTAAATGTTACATCATGCAATATAGTCCTTCATTTTTCTTCCTGGTATAAAAAGATGTGGTTGTCTGTGTTTATTTTTCTGTCCCCTCTCCCTGTTTTTATTTCTAAAGTTTTTGTTGATTCCTATCGAGTGTGCTCCCTACTCCCCTGAGTTGGTTCGTCACATGCATCACTGTTGTATGTCCACTGTAGCATCCTCCGATACCTGCCGTCACCATCCACGGATACCGTCACTGTTGCACCAACAGAGTTATTTGCATGATTTCTTGAACACCTGGTGTCATCAATGATTTACAATGATGCATTCATAGAATTTTCATCACTATTTTGTATGATGCACCTTCAAATTTAATTCACTCACTCACCCAATGGAATCTGTTTTGGCAGAATATCGAGACTGAATATTTTGGCTTTGAATTTTCAGCTTATACTAAGTTATAGTTCATACATATTGTGCAAAGATATATATTTGATGAATAAGTAATCATAGCTGCTGAGTTTGAAGGGAATCTATCTGGATATGATAAAATTTTGGCCACTTTTCTGTAGTGCGAAATGAGCTTAAACTTGAGTTGACATTTTTTATCACCATCAAAAATATTGCATAATAGAATTTAGAACTTGTCATCCATGAAAGTATCTTGCCTTTACTATCAGGAAAATTGCTGTTTCTAAATATTTCAATTTTGTTTTGTCTTTTCAGCAGTAATTAAATCGTTCCTCGGGATGGCTGTCGAAAACGGGACAGTGTTGATTGTGGCTGGGAGTTTCACACAAATTTCACAGCCAGTCGATGCCAAACTCATCTCATCAACGCCATCAAACATTGCAAGATTTATGTCTGATCTCATCTGCTGATTGGCTGAACAAGATTCAAGCATATTTGCATATTAAAAAATGAATATTCATGAAGCTTCATCACATACTTGTATATAAACAATGATCCATTTACAATGTTTGAATATTCATCAGTCATTGTGATGTCATAGTCAGTCTTTTCCCAATGAATGTATAGATATATATATGAAACAAAAAGAATCACTGTGCGGAATTATGAATATTCATATGGTTGTTTGAACTTAAATGTTCATAACATCCAAGCCAAAGACATACAACATAATTCCACTGAACGAAGTTGGTCACATACAGAATTAGTCATATGTAGATATTTGCATATTATCCAAACATTAACAAAAGGGTATGTTACCAAGGCGTTATACTCTTATACTCATATTGAATTGATGGCAAGAATATTCAAAGACAATCTGCGTGTATGGCATTTTTTATTCAATTTCATATATATATATAGCCATAGAATTTTATATTAGCTTATGTATATTAGCTTTGTATCTATTTTTTGGTCATTTGTGGCTGAGGTTTTTATATAATATGTAGAAATTAGTTCAGTATGCACAAGTATTTGCAATGTAATCTGGTTCATCAATATGTAGCCTTTATTGGAGTGTGCTTTGAAATAATTATTAAAACACATTAAAATTGTTATGAGGCTAGATCTGTTAATTTCCGACAATAAACAAATAAACATCGCCTATTCTAATATAAATATAGTCAGTAACTAAAGTATATATATTACAGTATTTAGTTTGGTATATTACACATCCATCTTTTCAGAGCTAATCAGATTTAAATATTTTAAAATGCTCCACTTTTCCAGAGAAAAGATTTAAATCAAAGTGTCATGTTACTGAAACTTTTAACCTGACAGATTACTTAATGTTTATTACTTACCAGGATTTGTTTATACTATTTGTTAAAAGGGTTAAAGACAGAGATGGATGGGTGAAACAGATAATTATCTTCATCTTGTCTGAACTGACAAAGATGGCATTGAGGGACCTCAAGTTTCTCCATAAACATGAATAACTATGGCAAGTTTAAAAAACAAACAAAAAAACATAATAAAAAAAAATCAAACTTGTGTGGTCATAATAGTTGTTTGATCATTTTAACCAAAATGGGGGTTTTAAAAAAAAAGCTAGCTTTAATTAAATAGAAAGTGATGCTGTCATTTATTATTGAAGGTAAGTGATGAAGGAGCAGGGATAAAAAAAACATTGGGGGCCTGGTGCAAGGAAAGGGATGTTAGAGTGCAGATTATCAGCAGGGGTACCAAAAACATGACTACAAGGTAAGTGGGGACGGGGGGGTAAGAATGCTGGGTTCAGGTTGTCAGTTAAGGGCAAGAATGACTGTACACGAAGCAGGTTTATTTAGGCTGGTGGCATAATTTCATATAAATTATGTTTTATGTTTAGGTGGACTTTTTGGTTGTTTTTGGTCACTTTCTACTTTGGCATTTTTCACATTCAATTGGTGTCTCATGAAATTAATACCCGTCCTGGCAGGGTTCCCCCAAACTGTCATTTTTTCTGTGGGGGTGAAATGTCTCCATCAATTATTACTTATAAATAACAGATCCGTAATAGCAGTTGATGAACTGTCAACATACAGTAGGTCATGGTGACCTTAATGATCTGCAAGGTTGCAAAATAACATCTCAAGTTGGAACAATGTGAAAATATATACATTTGCTTGATACTATTATGAAAGTGTGTGCATTCACTTGATATTATGGTGAAAATGTATGCATTTGCTTGATGCTGTTGTCAAAACGAATGAATTTGTTGATACTATTACCAACTGTATGCATTTGCTTGATACTGTTAAGAAAATATATGTATTTTCTAGATACTGATATGGAAATGTATGCATTTGCTCGATACTATTTTGAAAATGTATGCATTTGCTCGATACTATTTTGAAAATGTATGCATTTTCTCGATACTATTTTGAAAATGTATGCATTTGCTTGATACTATTTTGAAAATGTATGCATTTGCTCGATACTATTTTGAAAATGTATGCATTTGCTCGATACTATTTTGAAAATGTATGCATTTGCTCGATACTATTTTGAAAATGTATCCATTTGCTCGATACTATTTTGAAAAAGTATGCATTTGCTTCATATATACATTCCATCCTGATTGTATAAAATCCCCATGGCAATGAATATGTTCTCAATTCTTGATGACAAACTGAAGCGCAGAAGAAAGTATACACTCGTGTTTAATGGTGGTGAAAACAAAACCAACAAATGTTTATTTACTAGTGATGTATTTTATACGGGTATCACAGTGTCTTTGTGAGTTAAAGTTTGCAGTGTCACTCAACAGTTTTCAACTACGTAATGATTTGATAATGTTAATATTTTCTTTGCCAAATCCACTTTTAAAGTGTACACTTTCTTTTGCTGAGCAGTTTGTTTCAACTACTAATATAAACTATACAAAATTACCGTCATATGATGCTTACGAGAATGATGCATGGAGTTTTCCTCAGGCCTTATATTGTTTTTTTATTTGGCTTCCTAGACTGACTGACCAAAAGGAACTGAAAAAAAAGAAGAATATAAATGTATCGATTTTTTCACCTCTGTTCTTGAAAAATAGTGAAAATGTATTTTAATACATATTTTCTAACACAGCCAAAATAAATGATCTTTCGTGATATTTCCATATTAAAATATGATTGGTTTTAATTTGCAGCAGTAGCAGTACTAGTTAGGAATTTTTCCAACCACTGACATTGAATTTTAGGCTAAACAGTCTTTTAAACCAAATAATAAATTATACAGCCAGCAAATATTACTTTAGTCTATTTCACTGTGCAAGTGACCTGCTTTAACCCTATAAAGGTATGCATAAGCGCAAACAAAACATTTGTTTGCCTGTCTGAAAGGTCCAGTGCATTCTTTGAATGATTTTTGTACAGTTAATAACCTTTTTGTGATATTTAAAGCGGTATTTTAATATTGAACACCTGAGCATGTGTTGCTTGTATAACATATTTACAGTTGCAGCCTAGTCAAACTGGTTTTACACAAGTGATCTCCCTAACTTGTTTTTGTTTGAATACTTGAAACTATAAATGACTATATATTAGTTTTTTTTGTAAATAGTCAGGAATTAACTCCACTATAATCTTAGCATGACTTATTAATATTCTTAAACTGAATTGGCTTTGACAAAAATTCGATCTTCATTTGAATCTTGCACCACCTCCATCAAACCATCACCCCTATCCCCAACATTCCCCCCCTCTCACCCCATCCCCCAATTTTTTTTAAGATAACATTGAGTCTGTTTACTCAAAGAACACTGTTATTATGTTCATCCTACCGGGTACCCTTTTTACAACTGTTTTTCTCTGGTACCAGGATCTGGTTTCTCCTAGCTTGTGACTTAACCAAATACAGGCTTACCACAGTCTTGGCGCTTACATCGCATTATGGAATTAAGCTGTAGTGGATTAACGTTAGTTGTGCACATCCTATGGATGTAACCAGAGACAAGCAGAGATGCCAACCCCAAAGTGTTGCAAAAAGTAGTTTCGAGGATCAAAATTAGTAGTTTGATAATAAAATTAGTAGTCAACTAAATACTTAAAATCTTGATGGATTCTGAGAAAGATAATATGTCACTTATCAAGAGTGAAGCTTTAATTTCACATACCTCCAACAGCAAATTTCCAAATTATCAGCATTACATTTTTTCTTGTCGTCTCTTTTTGGCAAAAACGTATTTAATCGACGAAAATTTATGTTTTTGTCTGTAGATCAGAATTGTAATGAATTTTCTAGTGCAATAGTACTGGTGTAGTTTGAGGCTAAAATTTGTGGTGACTACGATAAAATCGTAGAGGTTGGCATCTCTGGACAAGTAGGGATCAGTATTTGTATAATTAAAGAAACTTTTGTTTTGGCTACAAAACATGTATACTTGGAGTCATCTTGTTCTTTATTTGCATTACAGTCTTTGTATTGCTTACACACCCAGCTGTAGTGCTTGAGTGTTTGTCAATAGTGCTTTTACAGAATGTAGTATTGTTTTGTCATGTCATAAGAAAACAGTAACTGTGATTATAAATGATTTTCTCTTTTTGACAAAGACTGAGAATCTTTGTTTGGTTGGAACTGAAAACTTAAAGACAAAATATGAATACATTTCTAGTTTTCCACAGAGACCATCTACAGATGGATGTATTATTTTTGTAAGCAGAAATTTCAAGAGCAAAATCTGAAAGACTTTTTGTCCTTGAGAACTTTCACAACATAGATAGATAAATATATAGATAGATAGATATCATAATAAAAAAAGGTTGAATGGTTGTAATGAAATAAGAATGCATCTGAAGAATGCATCTGAAGAAACCAGTTCCAATTTTAGAGGTTAATTAGTTAGTCGAGGTTTAATTATAACATATTTGTTTCACATCATTGCATAAAAATACCAAAAAGTAAACATAGAAATGTCTGTTCAGTTATTAATGATTGTGTTTGCTAAATGATATCGTGATTCTTTTAGAAAATATTTGATTTTTGTAGTAATTGTTTTCATAAACTTAATTCATTTCCAGATTGCATTTAGACTTACCATCATGATGTACATATATCCTCACAACTATTCTTGTATAAAAGCATTCCATTCATTCCTTCATGGTCAAAATATGAAAATACTTAGTGTAAAATATATGCGGGGATGGAAACACTTTTAAAAATACCACTTCTATGCACTTGTACAGAGTTTGAACACATAGCATGGGTCGAGAGAGTTATCCCCCTTGCTGTGTCATATATTCATTTTACTCCGATTTCTACATCTACTAGTTATATAACCATAGAACCTTTTTTAACTATCTTTTTCATAGACAGACATATTGTTTAGTCAAATAGTTTTTATTGAGGTTTATCGTAGAGGTTAGTGAGTTTCTTACTTGTGATATGGAGTTGATCAAAATGGGTACGAAGAAGAGGCTGGGGTGTGTGGAGATGTGACGAAACGTTGCATCCACTACAGAAATCTGCAAAGCCATTTAGATTAGTCATGTGTCTGCCAGGATCTGTTTCCACAAATTGGTTTTACTAAGACAGTTGAAACTTCCCTACTTCCACAGCAAGTTCAGGTCTAAATAATGAAAGTTTTACATTTAATTACAATAATCTGATAATTGTAAATATATTAATATTATATAAATATACTTTACTTACGTGAACCTTGAGGTATGACACTAGCACTGAAATTGTTTTGTGGAAACTAGTTTCAATTGTATGCTATTTTCTTGAATATAGTGTGCACTTATTTCCAAAAATCCCCTAGATTTTTTGGGGGGGTGTATTATCCTCTGGTGCAGACTATATATCAAGGAAATACGATACTTCAAATTCATCATTTGTAAAAATTTGAATTTCTATATATTCTATATATATTTCTTTTAATTTAAGGTCTTTAAACAGCCCTAAAATGAATAGGATTGTGTACAGAAACACTACACATAGAGATAGAGACTTGATAAAAATTGTGTTCGAGGACCTTTGACTGTTGTATGTATTGTATGCTGCGGTAGTGGTCACTACCGGTGGGGAGTGGTCACTAGTCAGGTCACTACCTGTCAGGGGGAGTGGTCACTGCCAGGTTGGCGGAGCGGTCACTACCCAGGGAGTGGGAGTGGTCACTACCGGTCTGGGAAGTGGTCACTACCAGGCTGGGGAGTGGTCACTACCAAGCAGGGGAAGGGTCATGACCGGTTAGAGGAGTGGTCACTACTGGGCAGAGGTTTGGCTTTGCCGGTTACTGTAGTCGCTGGACTTGAACTCAGGTAGGTAAATCTTGTCGGAGTTACCGAATCATACTAGTTTTATTTTTGTATTGTTTCCGTAACAAGTTTGACAAGCATCTCCTATATCATCTGTGATGTTAATCAAGACTTTTTACATGGAATTAAAATACTTTTATAAAGTTTAGAAACGAGTTTGTCTTTTTGGGGAATCGTTTGATCAGCATTATAGAAGATGCTTCAGTGGATAATATGGTTGGCTGGTTGGTTGGGGTGTTGTTTAACGCCGCACTCAGCAATATTCCAGCTATATGGAGACGGTCTGTAAATAATGGAGTCTGGACCAGACAATCCAGTGATCAACAGCATGAGCATCGATCTACGCAATTGGGATACAATGACGTGCATCAACCACCCGATCCTGTCAGTCACCTATTACGACAAGCATGGGTTACTGAAGATCAGTTCTAACCCAGATCTTCACAGATGCTACACAATGAAGCTACACCAGGGAATCAAGGGACAGTTGACATGGTGGTCTCCAGTCTGAAATTGGATTGTCTGGTCAGGGCCTAGATTTTTGAAGCTCTCTTAAGCCAAGATAGTCGTAAGTGCCATACATTAACATTAACTTACGACTATCTTAGCTAGAAGCTTCGAAAATCTAGGCCCAGACTTTTATTATTTACAGAATGCAGCCATATAGCTGGAATATTGCTGAGTGAGGCGTAAAACTAAACTCACTCACTCATCGTTCAGCACATGACAGAAAGTTGCTGAGTGTGACATGCTATTTGTATTCACCTTAAATACACAGAAGACACAGAAAACAAACAAGGGGGTCACTTTTTATAACCATACACATGTTATAGTGTTAGATCAAACTCCCGAGATCTAGCATCTATGAAAATCAAATGCAATAGTTTTGATGTCGCAGATCGAGCTATTGAAATAAAGCATCTATGAAAATCAAACACATTTATCATTTACAAGGCAACAATACACCATTCAATACAACGGTGTCTTCTGTGATATGTTTGTATTTAAATGTTTGAGTTTAACAAGAGGAATGTATAAAGGTTACAGTTATATTTAGTATACTCTTAAAAAGTAGAGGAACTTCATTTTTAATTGACGATTGAAACAATTGGGAGATATATCAGAGTCATTCAATGTTGATATGATAATAATAAATATTTTGAGAGTGCAACACCACTTGCACATCCTTATGGCCATACAGTAAATGCTCTTGAAAGATGATTGGTGTGTGACGTGGAATTTGCATGTGTATGATTTCCATTTTCAGACAAAACAAAAAAACTGCTTGAAACAAACACAACAACTGTGTGATACAAGATGATTGTCAAAGTTAATCAATTCTTGAAAACCGTCAAAATCAAGAATGACACCCCATGCACGTGCATGTGGCTTCTGCGGTTTGCATGTGCATCCCATGTGTTGTGTTTAGGAGTGGTGATAAAGAGAAATGGTGGTGGTTTCATGAGATGTCTGTTTTTGAAAAGTTTGTTAACACTTCCTATACAAAGTGAAAGTTCAGGTTTCCCTATATTTTTTAAGAGTATATATAACAGGGTGTGGAGTCAGATATTCTGAAACGTCTCACCATAATATAATAAAGAAGTTGTTATCCATAAAGTATCGTGCCTTTTGCTTATCATTCAGCAAATTCTAAAATGCCAATCAAACGGTGCAACAAAGAAGTTGGCAATCCATATAACTTGTTCCTCTTCATACCAGCTTCCAAATGTCACTAAAAGAAGTTAAAAACAAGTTCGACACAACCATATTTGACTATATCATCGATCAGAAGTTTTGTGGTTCCAACGATTTGATTCAGACATTTTATGGCCAGAACTCGCTGCCAATTTAAAACAATACTTTAGAATGATCCAGATTTCAATGCTCAAGAGGTTAGCCAAGTGTACAATCAACATCTGCAGAGGGGATGTTAACCCATTTCCTCAACATCGGCTCCGAACACAATACACTTGACACAATAAAGCAAAACACTGAACCAGGCTTAATGCCCCTGATGCACATTCTTGGTAGTTTGAAATAACAACTTGCTGTAACAATGGATGTAACCTGCTCTAGTTGTGTAAGTGGCAATAGCAGGCTTTAGAGGATGAGTGAGTGAGTGCACTCAGCAATATTCCAGCTATATGGTGGTGGTCTGTAAATAATCGAGTCTGCACCAGACAATCCAGTGATCAACAGCATGAGCATCGATCTCCAAAATTGGGAACCGATTACATGTGTGAAACAGGTCAGCAAGCCTGACCACCCGATCCCAATAGTCGCCTCCTACGATAAGCATGAGTTACTGAAGATCAATATTCTAACCCGGATCTCAATGGGTACTTTAGAGGATGAATTGTCCTGAACAGCATATATACAATCACTGAGCAGAATGATAATATTTGTATGAATATATTCCGTGAAAGGGACGTTTCGACATATACTGTGAGAAACAAACATAGTGTTCCTTTATCATTTTCCAGTTTTCATCACCAGTTTTGAAAGGTGCTGTGGTGATGAAAACTGAAAAATTATAAAGGAACACTTGAATTTTCCTCTGATCCTTTATTTGTTTCTCTCAGTATAGATTCTAATATCATCAAGCAAGTGTCAGTGTCATCATTTGCTTAAAGACATTAAAATCTATGTAGAAACGTCGCCTTTCACAGAATAAAGAAGTTGTATATCCATAAAAATAACAACATCATGCTTCATTACCTCAACTTCTAAAATGCCCATCAAAGACATCACTGAGCAGTTAAGGAGACCTCATATTTCTGTGAATATTTAATTTCTATAACTTTGTGGGGGATTTCATATCAGACCAACTTTGCACACATTATGTTTCCTTTTGTTGTGAGAGAAGTAATTCATTCATTCTGGTTGTACTTGTTTAGTTTTGAAAAATACAAATGGCATTGTGTATTCATGGCAGTAATCTTGACTTAAAGAAAAATGTTAAAAATATCACGAAACAATAGTATGGTTGTTTATCTTGACACTGCAACCCTCAAACTTGAATCATGTATTAAAACATAAATTACTGAAATTGCACTGCTCAGGCATGTACATGAATATATATTATCTCATTAATTCTTGTACACCTTGTTATGTCGTAGGCAAATATTACCACACACAGAACTAAGAGTGACTTCAAGTACAGTACATGCAAGGCATGGGCAGCATACATGTGATTTCCAAATGCCATTACTTACATGTGCTGTATACTGCAAAGCATTCTCTTTAAGTAACCACATACCCTTATGTTGATAACTATTATTATGCTAACATTTGTATGGCACCAATATCCAACTCAGCTGCTCTTCCCTTGATCAATGGATGTCAAACTCAAACGGTACAAACGGTATTAACAGTCTCAACTCCCTGGGGTGTATACAACTGACAGCTCTATGACTGCTTTTAGAAATAACAATCTTGATTTAATGAGCGAGTGAGTGAGAGGGTGAGTGAGAGAGTGAGTGAGTGAGTGAGTGAGAGATGTAATACTGTTTTGAAAATTATTTCAATACATCACAGCTTAATCAGTGAGGAAAGTCTGAAGAGAGAGTTTTGGTTTTACGCCGCTTTTTACGCCGCTTTTAGCAATATTCCAGCAACATCACGGCGGGGGACACCAGAAATGGGCTTCACACATTGTACCCATGTGGGGATTCGAACCCGGGTCTTCGGCGTGACGAGCCAACACTGTAACCACTAGGCTACCCCACCGCCCCTGAAAAACTGTGGAAAAACCTGAATATTTGTATAACACTTATATCCAAATGGCAAGCAACTCAGACCAACAGGTTGCATTAAGGTTGCAAAAACTGAAATATATCAACATATATGAAAATGCACTAGCTTAGCACAAGGCTGATATGGCTACACAATTTCAATAATAAATATTGGATGAGTGTGTAGTTGTGCTCTTCGAAAAGTGAGTGAGTGAGTTTAGTTTTACACTGCTTTTAGCAATATTCCAGCAATATCATGGCAGGAGACGCCAGAAATGGGCTTCACACATTGTACCCATGAGGGGAATCGAACCCGGGTCTTGAGCATAACGAGAGAACGCTTTAACCACTAGGCTACCCCACCACCCTCAAACAGTCTAATGGGATCGAGTGGTCAGGCTTGCTTACTTCGTATGCTATGCCGATTGTGTCCCATTTGCTTGGGTCGATGCTCATGACGTCAATCACTGGAATGCCTGACCCAGACTTAATCATTTAGACTTCCATCCTATCACTGGAATAACACTGAGTGCAGCATCAAACAACAAACGGTGAGGTGAAAAGGAGTTCAACGTCGCACTTAAGAATATTTCCCTCATATGACGACATGCTTGTGTATGTGTATGTGCGGCTGCTTGTACTAGCTCAGACTGAAGCTGGTTTTATAGTGCTAGCCCACTGAGATACCATGCCGCAGTGAAGCATGAATATCCAACTCAGACACATTATACTGACTCCGAGCCGACCAGTGCTTGTTGTAACCAGTAATGCTGAGCGCCAGGCAGGGTACCAACAAGTACCATATCTTAACGTCTTTTGGTATGACGCGGTCGGGGATCAAACCTGCAACCTTCCGCTCTCCGGGCGGACGCTCTAACCACTACACCATGGAGGCGGTCACAAACAACAAAAACATAACCATAACAAGTGTCAGTATAAATAAAAAACAACTTTATTCATTAAAATAAATTGGCTCAACAATGTCACGGAACTGCAAAAAATGCAAGCAAGAAAGTGGAAGACATCTTGACAATTTCATAACGTTCTTATCAATATTCGGTGGAATGGACTGACGAATCTTTATACGACAGAGAAATTTCAAGGTCAGTGGGCCGGCATAGTAATTGTGGAAAATTTCTAAAAAGCTAGCAATCTCCCTTTCTGATATATTTTCAAACCTTTCCGTACCCAACAAATCTATAATGTGCATATGAGCTATCCTTTCAAGAGTAAATCCTGATGCTACTAAGAGTTTCAATGTTTGTGTCAAAGTGGATTTCTTATTATGCACTATCCTAGGGAAAGTCTTTAGTCGTATATGAAAGTGGTCTTGTTGAGGATTTGCTCCATATGCCAGTAGGACCTGAAGTGATTTCAGGTGAAGGTTGTACAGAGTGTGTTGTAGGCAGGAGAG